TTCCAACCTAAAGGATTCTATGAATGAAATGTTTCACCCCCAAGAACACAGCTCTGTGTAAAACCCAAGTCTGTTTCTCAAACCACATGACATCTTAATGAGAAAACACACTTCATAAACCCCTGACAGCGAGAAGTCTGAAAAATGGCTCTAACTGTGACTTGCCTTGAGGCCTGTGGGGCACCAGTCCATGAACTGGATGCTGTGCTTGGCTCTGACCGCGGCGTTGACGTCCTTGGGCCCCGTGGCCCCGCAGGCAGCAGGCAGCAGGCAGGGTACGTGCCGTGGTGGGGGTCACACTTCATCTGGTTGGGTGGCTCGAGGCAGGCACTGGTGATCTCCCCAAGTCTGTTTCTCAAACCACATGACATCTTAATGAGAAAACACACTTCATAAACCCCTGACAGCGAGAAGTCTGAAAAATGGCTCTAACTGTGACTTGCCTTGAGGCCTGTGGGGCACCAGTCCATGAACTGGATGCTGTGCTTGGCTCTGACGGCGGCGTTGACATCCTTGGGCCCCACAGCCCCGCAGGCAGCAGGCAGCAGGCTGGGTACGTGCTGTGGCAGGGGTCACACTTCATCAGGTTGGGTGGCTCGAGGCAGGCGCTGGTGATCTCAGCCACTGAGGGCTGCTCGTGGTAAAGCCCTCTGCTGATAATCGGGTGTACGTCACCAGGGGAAGTGGATGCGAGGGCAGGGGACCAAGTTTGTCTGGAATTGGGTCAGATCCACGTTTAAGGCGCCATCAAACCCGAGGGAGCAGTGATGGAGGAGACGGTCTGGCCGAGGAGGGGGCTGAGGTTGGGGTAGGTGGGGTGCTCCATGTCCAGGTTGCAGCAGCAGATGTCGTAGATGGCCTCGATGTCCACCATGAAGGCGCAGTCGGAGTGCTCCAGGGTGGTGTGGGTGGTGAGGATGGAGTTGTAGGGCTCCACGACAGCTGTGGAGACCTGTGGGGCCAGGTAGATGGCAAATTCCAACTTTGATTTTTTCCCATAGTCAACTGACAAGCATTCCATCAGCAGAGAAGTAAAACCTGAGCTGGTGCCTCCCCCAGAGCTGTGGAAAATCAGGAAACCCTGCAAGCCAGTGCATTGGTCAGCCTGGAAGAGAAAATACACATATCAGAGCAATCACACAGACATTAACAACCCCAAAACAAGCTCTGGACAGACAAATCTGAATTCTGACAGGTACCAACTGTTCCAGCTTCAGAAAGCAACACTGGATTTGAGTCACCCACCAATAATCAGGGTGTGCCCCATAAACCCCACTGCATTCCTGGCTGTTTTTAAGCCCCCTGCATACTGCAGGATGATCTCTCCACTTCAAGTTCTACCTCAACACTTCGCCCACCCCCAGTTCTCAGGCCAAGGCCATTAGCAATGACCAAGAAAAACAGTGACAAAGAACTACAGACCCTCCATCACCTTATAGTGATTTGACATTTGCTGCCTGCACAAAAATGGAGCAATCCCCTGTCCCAGAACTACTCCTACAATCCTGTAAGAGTTGCAAGCACATAACTCAGCTTGGGGAAGTGAGCTGTCAAAATGTATTATGCTGCTGTTCCAGTTTAGTCCTCTCAGATGAAGAAACTGGACTGCCTTGTCCTCAGAGAAGTGCCACATGATGCTGAGCTTGGTTCCCAGGGCTGACAGGGACTTCCAACAGCTTGTACAAAGCCATTATGGCCATGTCTTTCAGGTCAGAGTACAGCCTGCTGCAAACTTCTCTGAGCTTTAATTAGAGCCAGTGGCAGCCAAGTGTTGAGAATAATTCCAGTTTTGATCTGCAAAAGGTGTACTTCTCAGTAACACTCATTTAGCAGCCCACATTAAAGCACCAGAGGAATACTTTGGATTTTTTTCCACAATGAGAACTCCTTACCTTTGTAACAGATTCAGTAAAGCACAGGCTTAGCAGCCCTAAAAGGGATACTCTAACCTTCTAAAATTGACATCTTTATAAATTTGCCACATGATCCAAGCACTGGGGAGCCTGAAACATCCCAGCTTACTGAGATTTATTCCTTTTCTACTGCTACTACCACAGAATTAATTTAGAAATTATAGGAGCAGGAAATGCAAAAGTCTAACCCACAGAAGCAAACACTCCTGTTTAAACGTCCTTGCAAGAGGCACAGCCAAAGACAAGTTCCTTTTCAAGGAACTGCACAAATCATCCTTCTCAGCCCCAGCTTTCTGAATTTGAACAACATGAAACTATGAAGTTTTGGGCACCTCACCAGCATTTCAGACCACTTGAAAGCCACATCTGACAGGAATGACCCATCCATTCTCAGCTGGCTAAGCGTGAAGCCAGCTGCAGACTAAGTCCACAGATTCTCCTACTGTGGAATAAATTAAAGCACAATTTATAGGGCTATGTATTTTTGATAATCTAAATTCCAGAGCCTGTAAAACAGGATAAAGAAAGATGCTTAAGAGCCTTCAGTGAAGAAAAAAAACTTACCAGTTTCCTGATACTCTCCAGAACTAAATCAATTATCTCTTTCCCAACTGTGTAATGACCTCGAGCATAGTTATTTGCAGCATCTTCTTTACCAGATACGAGTTGTTCAGGGTGAAAGAGTTGCTTGTATGTCCCAGTCCTAACTTCATCTGGGGAGGTAAGATGAATATTATTTGTCAGGATTCAATTTTCTATGTAGACCAGGTTTTTCAAACTTCTGAAGGTGTCTAGAATAAGGTCCCTAAACCCTTAGAGATACAACCAGCTTGTTTTCTACCTATCAGTAGGTGACAATACTTAGTAATATTGAATAACTAAGAAAAATAAAGTTACTGCTCTAGGAAAATGTCCCATTTTACACAAGTTCAAATTTTTGACCTTCCAGAGCAAATTAAAACTGGACTGTAGCAGCAGAATCATTCTTCCACAGTTTAAGACAGCTTAAGGCCCCCTCTGCAGACCAGCATCTGAAAGACTGTTTTTCCCCCCCATTTTCCAAGCCCCCCTGGATGCTGCTTTATCTCCTCTGCAGCTGTGGGCACTCAGAGCCTGCACTGCTTGCTCATCCCCTTCTCTCCCTGTTGTCCTTTCTGCCAAGGATAGAGATGTTCAAAAGGACCAGGAGATACTCCCAGAGCTGTTCAGTTACTCAGACACTGAGCTGTGAGCTCCAGCACAAGCAGCTGTTGAAGAAGCTGTGCAGGTGAACACACAGCATCCCCCAGCAGTGACAGACCTGGAGAACAATTCAGAGTTAAGATCCCCACTAGTTACCAGAAATATGCACTTACATCTAGCAGGCTAAAGCTCTGTCCTAGCACAAAGGTGCACAGACACTCTGCAGAGCTGTGTCTCTGGTTTAGCTCAAGCCACTCTTGAGTTGTATGCTAATGCAGTGCTGCAGCCCTTCATCACAAGCAGGTAGAAAGCAAAGAGCTTTATTAACTACAGAAGTTGCCTGTTTGCATGTATTCTTTTTAATCTGAAAAAGAGTAAGCAAGACAAAGATAAGTCAAATTCAGGATTTAAAAATAGAGTTACCATTTGAACTAATTAAGGCTGACCCAGGCACCACTGCAGTTTGCAATCCAATACTCTAAAGTATTTGAGCTGCACCAAAAGAAACCAAAACCCCCAACATTTGGAAAAGTCTGCTATTCAGAGTGCACATTTCTAGGACTTTCTGCATTAACACTCCAAGTTAAAGGACAAATATGACTAAAAGGGAAAAACAGAGCCTAAAGAAAAACACATTATAACACATCTAAGTCAAGATGGTCCTGGGGAATTAACAAAACCTGACGAGTTAAGAGGATCAGTCATTGGACTGTTAAGGTGTGCTGGAATAAAATATTTAGAGTTTAGGGGACAGCTAAAGCAAGCCTCCCCCTGGGCTTGCCACCCTCCACATGTCCATCTCTCTGGGGTAGGCTTTTACAGCCACTTGTACTGAATTCCTGGACATGTTCCTACCCTGTTTCTCAGTGGACAGTGTGATGTTATTTTACCACCACATGCACAGAGAGGTGTGCATGGAGAGGTGTCCTGCTGCTTTCCCCACGAGCAGCACTGATCTGGGACCCCCAGGAATCCCCAGTGTGCACACGTGGCAGCTGCTGAATGCACCGTGGGGGCTTCTGGCAGCAGGGTGCTGGGGGCTTGCTGCATGACTGAAGAGTCACACCAGCCACGCCCAGGAAATGGGACCAGTCCTTTCAGATAAGCAGGGCAGGAATAAAGAAAGGAGCCTAGCCCCACAAAGCATGTGATGGAACCTTGAAGAAAAGGCCCTAACTTTTTTACTATTACCACATATTTCATAACAGGCTTTTCTGCATCTCCCCATACTGCACTTGCACCATTCCCAAGTGCTGGAACAATACCTGTTACCACTTGTCCCCAGACTCACCAGCTGCACCCCCAGAGGCAAGGGGAGAGCTTTGCCACCGGCTCTCCCTCACCTCACTTCTCAGCCGTTTCTGGTTGCTTGGAGCCACCACCTGGCCAGCAGCAGAGGAAGCAACAGCCCCGGGGCTCAAGAAAACAAAAGACAGACCTGCAAGAGCTCCTGGGAAGATCAGCATGTGGCCAAGGGAGCTTTGGCTCATGTCAAAGTTATCAGTCCAGCACTCCTGCCCTTGACCTGCCCAACAGCATTGTGCCCTTGTGGCCAAGAAGGCCAATGGTGTCCTGGGGTGCATTCACAAAAGCATGACCAACAGGTCAAGGGAAGTTCTCCTCCCCTTCTGCTCTGCCCTGGTGAGGCCACACCTGGAGTATTTGGTCCAGTTCTGGGCTCCCTAGTTCAGGAGAGAAAAGGAACTACTGGTGAGAGTTCAGTGGAGGCTCCAAAGATGCTGAGGGGCCTGGAGCATCTCTGTGGGGAGGAGAGGCTGAGAGCCCTGGGGCTGGTTAGCCTGCAGAAGACAGAGGGAATCTGATCAATGCTGAGCAAGAGCTACAGGGCAGGGGTCAAGAGGATGAGGACAGGCTCTTTTCAGTGGTGCCTATTAACAGGACAAGGGGCAGCAAGCATGAACTGGAACCCAGGAGGTTCTATCTGAACATGAAGAGAAAATTCTTTCCTGTGAGTGTGCCAGGGCCTGGACCAGGTTGTCCAAGAGAGGTTGTGAGGCTTCCTGCTCCAGAGATATTCCAAACCTTCCTGGACCACAATCCTGTGCAACCAGCTCTGGGTGAACCAGCTTTAACAGGGGGTTGGACTAAATCTCCAACCCCTGCAGCATGCTGTGGTTCTGATTCACTCATCTCCCCTTCTCAGCTCTACATATTGCACAAATATACCCAGCAAATGCACCAGCACATGCCACAGACCTCATCTCCTATGAACCTCAAATCAGTACTTGAGGCAAGACAGCTGCAAAACCAGCTCCAGCAGGATTACTTCAGGCACATGCATTGCTGGGAGCAAAGACATGACTCACAACACAAAGAACAAGGGTCTTGTGAAACTGGGGAGCTCACACTGGGCTGCTGGTCTAAGTAATGGCACAAAATGTGGGATCCCAAAGTCCTGGGATCAGTCATTGGCTGATGCATGGGATCACAGAGCTGGTGTTGCCAGAGCTTGGGATACAGCTGGTCTTCAGGAGGAGTGGATTGTTATTCAAAGATAAGGCAGCAGGAAGTCAAAGTGCATGTTTGGAAGTCCCTGAATTTGGGCTAGCAATTGAGACTCACTTCTGCAAGCCCTATTCAAGCTACAGAGAGTAGAAGTGTTTCTGGCACGATTCCTGTGCCTTCCCATGTACAAAACAAAATCTGCTTAATGATACATATCACATCTTTTAAAAAGGCTCCTACTGACTGCTGTGCACACCCCTTCAGGAGGCTGTAACTAGCTCCTCACATAGCAAGAGCATGAGGCACATCCAGAAAACCCATTCAGCTCCACAGGCTGGCAGAAGACAGTATGTAAATTCTTCAGAGCTCCAGAGTGCACCTTTGCCAGGCTCAATAAACATCAGGCCAAGTGTTTTCCATCACCAGGGAAGATGCAGGCAAGCTTTAACGTTGTAAAGCTCTAAAGCCTTTCACAGGACTAGCAGGCCTGCCTGCCCCACGTGCACGGAGATGCACTCACGCTGCGTGGGGAGAGAAAAGGGTCCCTGGGCAGAAAGAGCAGCTCCAGCACAGCCCAACTCCCACCCTGCAGAGCTCTGCGAACACTGGCCCTGTTGTACTGGTGCCAAACGCCCCTAAAGCCCAGACAACAGAACACAAAAGCCTCTTTCAGCCATCACCCACCTCCACCCACCCCTTCAGACATTGTCATTTCCACAAACGCCTGCCTCCTGGTTGTTCCTACCCTCAGCCAGACAGGAGGAGTTTGACCAACTCTTCCAAATCCTCTAGCCAACTACTCTTCATAACAAACACCAAATATTTAGAAACACCTAGTCAGCTGCCAGTGGCCTAGGTGTCCTGCAGAGCATCACCCCCAGAGCACAAGCACAGCCACCAGAGGGAGCAGAGCCCTCTGGAAGATCCAGGGCCACTTTGGTCAAGACACATAAAACCAGAAAAAATACTATCCTGATCACTTTAGGGAGATGTGTTGTTCTGTGAGAAAGTCTCTGCTTAATGAAGCCCACACCAATTTGTGACTCCCAATTTGCCTTTGATGTCCCGAGCATAAACTCAACTTCCTTAATATTTCAGCTTCATGTTTTGAGTATTAAAAGCCAAACGACAATGGAACTATCTCCTAACTCCTGATCCATCTGTGGCATTTCATATTTCACTTTAGGTTTGAGTGACAGTTAAACGTTCTACAGAAGCTCACACATGGGATGGTTTTGAGTAACTATCACATTTAACTATGTTCAGACCCTATGACTGGATGATACAATTACTTTGTCCCCAGAAATTCCAGGACAAGCAGGACCTGGAGCTGCCTCGTCCACATCAACAGTCAATGCAGGAAAGCAGGAACACCATCCTTTCAATTTCCTTCATCACTCCACAAAATTAAAATCTGTATTTACAAAAAAAACCCTATCACCCATTCCCAACCTCAGTACTGAACAGCTGAGAACTGCTGTTCTTCAGCTCCCCATCCACCCAAGCTGTGTATTCAGGTAGAGCTTCCAGGAGAGCAATCCAAACCTCTCTGCAGCCAGCCTGACCCACAGCTGCTGCCACACCACTCTCCAAGGCCATTGCTCCATCCCTCTCCAGGCCACAGCACTGGGCTGGGCACACTCAGCAGTGGAAGAGGACAGCCAACCTACACACTGTGAGATGGTGGCAGGAAAAGCAGCTCCAGCATGCAGCCCAACAGGGCCACACTGCCCCGGAGAATCAGTCCATGGCAATGGATTTAAGCCACACCACCCTCTGAGGAGAGCAGGAAGAGACTGCACTTCTCTACACTGGGAGGAGAAAGCAGAGACACAGCACTACTTCAGTCTGGATTCTCACCTCACTGAGGCCCTGCCAGTGATCCAGGCTTTGTCAGTGAAGCAGCTAAGGAAGGTCACTGGAAGGAAGCACACAGGGACTGGCATGCCCAAGAAAGGTGAATGCATGGAAGGCATCAGACCACACATGAACTTCCCAGCACCACTACCTCAAGGTGCACCAAGCAACAACAATCATTCACCTTCCAAAGAGAAACTAAGTCTTT